AGGCTGGCTCACACCAAAACGACGTGCCGCATCGTGGGTACTGGCTCTGGGATTTCGTTCAAAGAATTCAAAAATTGTTTCTTCTAATTCGACTGTCAGGCGAGGTCTGCCAGACCCTCGTGCATGACTCGGGGTAATGAATTGGCCGTGATCGAGCAGCCTTTGATTGGCTGCCAAAATGGTTCTTGTATTAGGTATCGCGGGGTTACGGATCCCAAAGGCTCGCATACGAGGTATGCTCTCCGTCGCGTACATTCTCCGAGCTGCACTTAAGTTCTCACCACTTAGAAGGTAAACTCGTACCATCTCGTAAAACTCACGACTGGTAAATTCTGACATCGTTATCAGAAAAAACCTACAACACGAAAGGCGCGAACGACGGACACTGTGCTTGCGCGGGAACACGAAAACACATCAAAGCGGCGCGTGCGTATGAGTCTCACTGCGGCCACTGCGGCGCGCGCCTTTGAAGGGCGGCGGGGGCTGTGGCGGGTGGCTGCCGGGAGCGGCAGGGCGGCGGGGGCTGTGGCGGGGGGCTGCCGGGAGCGGCAGCGCGGCGGGGACTGTGGCGGGGGGCTGCCGGGAGCGGCGGGGATGCACGGTGGTATACGCAAGAGGAGACGTTTTCATTGAAGTTTTATTTTAAAAATTATGTCCATATTCTACCGTTTCAATAGGGATAAAAATATTTAAAAAAAAAAATTTAACTAATTATGGAAAGGTGTTCTATTACTGATACTGAATCACCAAAAAAAATTTTTGCACTGGATAAAAAATATTCCTGTATAAAGAACTGTTACCAATCAATCAAAATATAATTATTTTTAAATATTCGCACTTTACAACTTCCTCTCCCCTCTCGGATCGCATCGAGTGCGCACGCGTTTCAAGTGTCTTTATTTTTTATTTTTCACATTTTAATTAAATTTAACTCAATAAAATCAACACGAATTATTAGGATCGCATAAGCAGTGTGGTGTGTTACCAAGGCCCAGTGGAACCTGCGTAAAGTGTACGCGTACAAGAGGGACGCCTGGCTATTACTATAGTCCTCTCACTCAAGAGCACGCCCCCTACACCTAAGAAGGACAAGGACACCTTACCGGTATCCTTATCTCTCACCTACTGTTTTACCGACGCATACGCTGTTCCTGCGGAGCGACATTCACCCTTCTGTTTGGTACAATAAAGTTCGTGACCTTAGTGTGGACCTCTTTTTGGCCGCTGACATCTTGGTACCATGGAGAATAAAAACGACATGTCGATTTGTGAAGTCGAAATGAGTCATACGGAAACGAGAAATGTTGACGTTACCCCCCCGAGTTTTGTTTTTACGCGGAGTAAAAGCGTCACTTCGGATGACTTTGCAATGTTCAAAGAGGAAATAAAAAATATGATTTCATCATTATGGACGGAACAACTAAAGGATATTAAATCCATCCCGGGAACCTTAAAGGAAATCAAGCAGAGCAATCTCAATATTGAAAACTCCATTTCACTGCTCAGTGCACAAAACGAAGAACTGAGCAAAAAAATCTCTCAGCTAGAGAAGAAGGCTAAACAAAACGCAGATTATATCATTCTGCTCGAGGATAACTTGCAAATGGCGTCACGAAAATCAAATTTTGAAATAAAAAATCTACTGTGGAAGCCCACAGAAACGAAAGACGACGAAAGGTTGTGTTTTACACCTAGCATCGTCCATAGGGAGTTCGCTCAGTAAAACCGACATCATGGATATCTATAGAGTCCGTGGAAAAAGAAGCGCTTCTACAAACACCCCGATTGTGGTTGAGACTGCGTCTACACTAGTAAAGACCGACTTCCTGAAGCTTTGCAGGATCTTTAACATTACTAAGAAAAATAAGTTATGTGCTAAACATCTGGGTTACCGAGTATCTGAAGACACCCCCATATTTGTGTCGGAGCAGCTCACAGCCAAGGGAGCCCGTCTGCATTTCTTGGCAAGAGACCTTGTCAAGGCTGGAAAATATAAGTTCTGCTGGACCGCTTATGGTCGGGTTTACGTACGAAGAGCTGAAAATACCCCGATTATAACTATCACATCGGAGGCTCAGGTGCATCAGCTAGTGATTGATGAATGACGGTGTTTTTTTCAGTGTTTTGAATTGTTGTGTTGTGCCCTGCGGAGTCTCAGGTATTTGATTATGTTGCTTTATAACTACTCAATTACTTACCTCTTTTATAAAATGTTCACACAGTATCTTTGCACTTGTATAGAAATGCCATTAGCTTGTTGCTGTGTTACATTTTTTGTTGATAAAGTGGATGTGTTTTTATATCATGGTTTGTTAGTTGAATGTTACTCAGGAATAACTTCTTACAAATATAAACTTACCAATAATAATTATCATGCCTACATGCTGGCTCCAACTTATTTTATCAAAATATTTTACTTAAGAGATGGTACATGGAAACCATACTGTAATAACTCACTGCTAATGTCAAGTTACAATTTATTAAATATACTATTACTTCTCCTTTGTTATAATGTGTTAAAGAATTTAAAAACACTTATCTTTTGTCTTTATGTTGAGTTAGTATTATTATTTTGTAATATTCTAAACATGAAAAATCAATATTTCACTTTACCTAGGAATTTTTGTGTAATATATGGTGATGTCCACCTTTGTTACTGTATTATAGTGGTAACATTAGTAACAATAATTAATGTTCTAATTAGTAAACAGAATTTAATCATCTTAAATTATTTGTATATACTGATCTTATTTACAAAGATAGGTATCTATCCAACATATCATGCATCACCTGTGCATTCTAATTACCTTATGCATCGAATTATCGTCACTTACACTATGTGTACTTTAATTATAACAATTCCTTATTTAAAAATTGTTACATTTAAACCATGTCTCTATAAACATCCTAAGTTAATTTACATTTTTCTAAATAAACAAATGTTTCTAAATTGTTGTTATGTGGTAATACAACGTGAATTGAGTTTCTTTTGTCTTTGTGTGGAATTCTTAGTTTTATTTTATAAAGCTATAAACATGACTACTCATAATACTTGTTCACTCAAGCATTTCTTTGTAGTGTATAGGTATAGTGTAAAGTGCCTTTTTTACTATATTAATATGTTCACAATATTAATATTGGTGACAACAGCCAAAGACCTACTAAGTAAACAGTATTTAACTGTCTTTACTGAGAACATTTTGATTTTATTTACTAAAGTGTGTATCTGTCTTATTAACTCATCACATGGTCATATCCAATATCTCATATATCAACTAAATATCATTAACAGTTTGTCTGCTTAAGTTGGTCAGAAACAGGTCACTTGCTAGGGTTACCATATTGAACACTTCTATTACTGATCACTGTATGACCTTTTTACATCTTAAAAATTTAAATGAAAAATCTAATGCTCGTAAAATTGCATCTGTCACTGACTATGACGGAGCTTTGTTTAGTTTGAACAACATGAAACTATTAGAAATTCTGCATCTTGATGACCCTGATATTATAGCTGAAACTTTGATCACAAAAATTACACAGGCTTTAAAAGAAAATACCACTTTAAAAGTTATACCAAAAAGTCAACGAATCAGCAAGCCTTGGATGACACCTGGTATATTGCGCTGCATTAGAAATAGGAATAATATGCAGAAGAAGCTCCGATCTAATCCCAATGATAGTGTTCTTGCAGTCACCTATAGGCGGTATCGTAATTTTTGTAACAAGTTAATTAGAAAATTAAAATATAATTATGAAAAACAGCTTTTAGAAAAATCAATAAATAATTCTAAATGTCTTTGGCGAAATATTAGGAGCATCACTCACACCAATAAAGACAACAATGACAGTAGTAAACTTTTGAATGTTAAGTCAACTCCGAATGAGTCAGTTGATCATGTTAACAGGTTCTTTGCAGGTGTAGGTAGGGAACTGTCTAGTGATATTAATCCATTGAGTAGCACACAAGCTTTATCTTTATCCTGTTTTTCGTACGAACAACAACTTACATCTTTTGTTCTAATGGACACTGACCCGCAAGAAGTGCACGTAGTTCTCATGAGTCTTAAATCTGAAAGTGCCGCAGGATGGGACCAGATTCCTGTTAGTTTTCTGAAACTTGCCAGCACCATTTTAGTTCCTCTTATCTCCCACATGGCAAATATCTGCTTTAGGCATGGTAGATTCCCTAAGCTGTTAAAACTTGCGGTTGTCACACCAGTTTATAAGAGTGGGAGCAGAGCCGATGCAAACAACTACAGGCCTATCTCTGTACTGCCTTCATTGTCCAAAATTTTGGAAAAATTAATTAATAGGAGACTTGTTGACTATCTTAATAAGTACAGTATTATATCAAATTCGCAATATGGTTTTCAGTCCAGTAAATCAACTCAGGATGCGGTAATGGCTCTTACATCTTTGATTGTTAAATTATGATGACACTGAAGACATTATTAAACCTGATAGATAGATTTGTATTTATATTTTGCTATATTTTGCTCAAGTAAAGTTCCTTATGTTAAATTGAATGTTCCTAAATGTTAAATTCTTTATGTTTATTCAAGTTACTAACGTTAAATTCTAAATTCCTGATGTTAAGTTAGAAGTTCCTATGTAAATTTTAAAAGTTGTACCTACCATTCTTGTTTAAGATTAATCAAGATCTGTTACAGAACTTAGTCTGTTGAAATAAATGATTAGTATTCAATTCTTGTAGCCCACAAATGTTTAAATTTTATACGTACAAATATAATAAACCTATACATGTTATGGGAGTGTGGCTGCTCCTGGCACAAATGTATTTTACATTTAATAGGGGCATGTCAGCCTCTGACTATTGTTAAAACTCATGCTTAACGAAATAAACAATTTTCATTTTCATTTCACAACTAGAGAATTTAAGTATGTTTTTTCTTAGATCAGGAACAAAATAAATATTTTTAATTATACATAGGCGTATTTATTACCTACTCCACTAATTATCTCCATATTACCAATTCTTACAGCTTCCAAACTAACTGCATTTTTAGCAGCAGAATTTTCTTTGGTTTCTTTAACTGTATATAATCTACAAAATACTCTTTAGAATTAATTAAATGATCTGTACAACCTAAATCGATGTAAAATTGTATTTCATCGTTCCCCTTATCTTCATGTTTATATGGTCCACAGAAAAATGCACTTGGTATATTGTCTTTGGTTCTTCGTCTTTGATTTATATTTTGTCGTTCTCTTTCATTATAAAACCCTTGTCCGGTATGAGAATAACCCCTCCTGCATGAGCCTTGTCTTTGTTCGGTATTAAAATTCCTTCCTGTATTTCCTTGTAAGAAGTTTTTCTTATTATTTCCGTGTCCAATGTAGCACTGGTATTTCTTATGTCCTGATTTACCACATTTATAACAATTAAATGCACTTGGAGTAATATCCCTATTATTTATCCCATATCCCATAATTTTTTTCTTGTTTTCTTCTTCTGCAAGAAATCTAGCCATTACTGTGTTGTGTTTTATGTCTCCCATTGTCTCTATTTAATTGTTTTATTACAGTTTATCTACGTGTAATGAAGCTATACAGTAAAAAATTAGATTAATAACAACAAAAGATTCAAGAATTATTTAGTGACTAACTATTCAAAAAAAAATTCGTAAAATACTACAAAAAACTAACTTTCGTGCCTTTTTAAGTGAAATTTCTTTAATAAACTTAGAAAAATCAAATTTGGATGCTAACTTGTGCTTCTTGGGCCGTAGATGCTCTCTCTCAAGTCTTCAGTTGAATGCTGAGTTTGCTAAATGCCAGTTTCGCCAACGCCACCGTCACAGGAGCAGTACAAAATATGCGCAAGGCAACGCATACGTTGATAAACATAGGATCTAGCTGTTTTTCGTAAATAGCATTTAACAGCTTAAGTGTGTAACGGTGTGCCGTACCACCGTTTATTTTCCTAAAGAGAGGGGCATTTCTTGTCTTAAAATTTTCCATCTTGACGGGCTACTAGGAAAGAAGAAATACAAACTTTCTAAATTCCCAAAAAATGTAACAACTTGGTGACAAATCTTTGCTGCGTTGACACCTACTCGGTTCAAACGTGCGCTGCACATAAAGAGAAAAAAAAGCCAGTTTGTTTGACTCAAGAAGCCTTGATTTCACCCCTTTGACTTTCCCACATATATTTGACCCACCATCATACCCTTGTTCTATACAATCTGCGAGTTGTATTTTCAGAATCTGCAATTCTGATAATATCTCTGCAGCAATATCAGCACCAGTTGTCTCGTTGAAATTTAGAAATTTCGTAACTTCTCATAAACTTCAAAGTTTTTGGTACCTTTTTCTCGGTGAACATATCTCAAAACCAATATATTTTGTTCTAGATGTGATATAACTATTAACCCAAAGTAAAATGATTCATTTCTCTCTTGGAGGATAGTCTCCAACACATGATCGCCACACAGTGAAATAAATTCATTCTGGCTCTTCCATGATAAGTAGTGTGCTTGGCCTTTCATCGAATCTCCTTTAACCCGAGTTGGTTTGATTCTTTCTAAGTGCTCCCGAGTTACATCATCGTATTGTGCAATGACTTCCAGAATGCTGAGAAAGTTTCCATTGCTGACATCTCCAATAGTAACATTATCTCCCCTAAAAGGTAGGCCTCTTGATGCTAACACGATCTTTGTGGTAAAGACGGTAGAGAGTCCATCCGAATCATCGCATCTGTTTAAGGGTAGCAGTCTGGTGTAAATCAAATATAATCTTATCAGGGCCCGTCAAGTGTAATACACTCTGTTTTATGTAGGCCAAAAATACTTAATTTACTAAATAACGGGGCAACAGTACCCACCCGCCCCTATTTTAATTTTTTACGAAATTATTAAAGTAGAACTATTTTTAACTCTAAATTAGTACGACGGTCGAACAAATGGGAAAAAACATTCTCACAAGTTCGACCTTCGAACTAATGGGACAAGAAATTCTCACTAGTCCGACGATCGAACTTGACAGAACCCCCAACTTGACAGAAGACGCAGATGTCCCAGAACTCAACGTCAAGCCGAAACGAAGTGACAAAATGAGAAAAATCAGAAAAGCCAATTATCCCATGCAGTTTGGAAATTATGGTCAATTAAGAAAAACTTAGGAATTTGGTTAAACTTTAACCATTTTTCGGTTATTTAGGTTAAATATTATATATATTCATAAATGGTACTAAAATAAATAAAGCATATTACACAAATTGGCAGAATCGATGGGAGAATCACTGATGAATCATTAAATTTTTAACGAATACTTTTATAAAATTATGTATAAAATCTACACTTGTATTCCGGATGTTGGAAGCCTGGTGACCTGTAAAACGGGTTTTACACTCAAGTGCTGGCACCAGTCTCCACGATAAATTCTGATGTCCTTGATACACTCTGCACTTTTGTACATTTTTTGATATCGTGGAGAAAAATAAAAAAAATATTATTATTAATATTATTATTATTTTTATTCATTCAATCTTTGAAATCGTAACCCTTAATAACATTTCTAGAATCACAGTCAAAAATAATGACGCAATTGCACCAAGCTTCCTATAAATAAGACTATTTGTTAAACTGTGAATTACATTTTTTTTAAATTTGTCGACTTTCAAAGACACTCCTTTAAAAAAAAGTACTAGAGTGAGTAAAGGTACTGTCATTAAAATTTGGCGCATTTAATCGAGATTTTGAAATGATACAATAATTGTTAGTTTCATGGTAAAAAAAAACGAGGAAAAAAAATCCTCTAGTTACCCTATATTTGTTGACCCATTTTACTCAGTGAAAATTTTTGATTCGCACAAGCTCTTGGTATGTACTCAATTTTACAGCAAAATGATAGCGGGCATGTGGAAATGTAAAACCCAACGCTACCGTGATCCCTAGCTGGACTCGCCCGCTCCAACGAATAATTCGTCTCGATAAATTCGACGCTCGAATAGTTAGTCTGCCAGCAATCCCACTACTGCGCACACGGGTAAGATGTAGTTTCCCGCGCTCCCTTTGCTGTCGCGTCAGCTCGCGCGGTTCGCCGTTAAAACGTACTTGTGTATAGTTTATGATTAATAAGGACGTTTTGTCCTATTACTTTCTTATGTTTGTATTTTGCGTTTCTGTGATCGCCAGACAGTATGTAACCTTATTGAACTTTATGTTGTTTTATTGGTATGAAAACCACCACATCACCACAACATAGAGATGTTTCCCGGCCTAAATACCTAACTATTTAATATTTAGTAGAGGGCCCACCAGTGTCAATTACTGCATCGTAGCGCCTACGCATAGACTAATAAAAATAATAATAAATCTTTATTTGGTGCAGTAAATAAGTACAAAATCAATTGCACGTTAAAAGCTGCATTAGTCGAAGACTGTATTGCAGATATTAGCGCCCACCTCCAACAGATAACAAACAAAAGCACAAATAAAGCAAAACACAAAAATAAGAACGACAAATAATTTTAAAATGCACTTAAATAATGAAAGATTCCACATCATCATAATTAAGTTCTAGTAACCATTCCTTAAAAACTGGAAATGGAAGACTATATATATTTAATTTATAATAAACCTTATTATATAAAATGGAGCTGAAGTAGTAATAATGGTATTTCATTGTTTGCAACCTCCTTGACACTGAATCTAACTCTCTCCAGACCAACTAGCAGAATACGTTTTTAGCAAAGAAGGCAATAATATTTTTCTTCTTCTGAAGATTCGGGTGGTGTATTAGTATTTATTTTCTTTGCTTTACCTTTCCCCTTTTTTTTATTTGTCTTTCCAGTAGATAATTCTAGAACTTTTTTCTTCGATTTTATTATTTTTCAACCGTTTTTGTCGCACTTACAACTTCTTTTTCAGGAGTATCTGTGTAGATTGCTGACTTTTTGATTTTTTGAATGTGTTTTGTTGATTAGAAGTCATCTCTTCAGTAGCATTTGGATTAGGTCTATCTATCACGAACGATGGTGCAAAATCATTTTCTTGGAACAAATGACGGTTGAATGGTAAAATACCAAATCAAGGTTGAATGGAAAGATCCCTGTCTTTTGAAACCTGGCTTGTATATTCGCCCGAGTAAGAGCAAGTGGCATTGCGGTGCTTATAATACTCAGGATGTCATAAATAGTCACTCTTGCCTGGATGGTTTCGCATCTAGGCGTAGCAGGCAGCATTAATGGCTTTTTGAAAGGCCCATAAACAGATCTATCCAACGGCTTAAGTTTGTACGAGCAGTGGGGCGGAAAAAATTGTAATACTATTCTATTCTCGTTGCGAAAGTCTAAGGATTTGATATGTATATGTGACGAATGATCTTATGTTTGTATGTATGTTTTTGAAAATGTTTAAGAAACACAATAAATGTACTCGTATCCATCCTGATGGATTGCCGGTACCGATCGATCCTTCTGGTGGTCAGTCTTTAATAAAATGCTCTTGATATCTAATTCGGGGATATACGAACATAATGGCGTTGCCCAATGCATTAACTGCAAATGATAGTGAGACCAAAGTGAATGAATGAAAGTCGCGATGCATAACATTTCGAAGATTGCCATAAGTTATTTGATATCGCTTGAAATTTTGTGTAGCAAGAGTAGTGGCTTGAGCAGCACGCACAGAAAGTTCGGGATTTCTCTTCATAAATAAACGAAGCCACTCTTCTCCGGCCATTTCATTATCCCGCCACTTGGAAGGAGCGTTTAAATTGTGTTTTACGGTGAGTTCAAAGCCATCTTTTTTACTCTTTTGTGGAGAGGCCAAAATATATGTCTGCGCAACGGAACAGGTTCTTCGTCAATTGCCGCTCTTGGTATTCGCTATTACCTCGACCAACGATACACTGCAGTATGAAGCCGCATTTTAGCCGCAGCCGGGACATATCGCGGAGACAAATCGCCCGTAATTCACGTAATATGTATCTATATCTGCGACTTTGTCCTTCAACAATACTCGACATATTTTTTGTTCTCATTAGCAAGTAGTGTTCAGTAGTGTTGTTCAATGCAGCTTACGTAATTATTCGGAAGAATTTAGCACCGGACAAAAAAAAGATGGTGGATTCGAGAGTATTTGCTACAAAGGGAAAGTTCGAGTTTGGTAAACAGTCTTCGAATGCGCGACGGATTTTTCGAAAATTTTAATAGTGTCTCTAGAACCGATTTCGAATTACTGTTAAATATGGTTGAGCCGGCAATAGTCAAACAAGACACAAATTTTCGAATAGCTGTCGAGCCTCACACCTCATCAGACTCGCTATAACATTGAGATATTTGGCTACCGGAGATAGTTATGGTTCATTGTCCTATACTTTTAGAGTGTCAAAACAAGTAATTTGACACACAGTACCGTAAATTGGGGGGAATCGGGTCACTTTCCGAGTTCTAGATAAATTACCACAACTTTTTTCATCCTTCTAACCAATGAGGATTATAATGATTCTGATGTTTTGTTTGTTTATATCCGGTGCATTTTACTGCAATATTATT